GTGCGCCGCCTCCCCCCGGCCTCGGGTGGGCTCTCCAGCCGAGGAGGAGGCGAGGAGGGGTGGTGGGGCTGACACTGGGGGGGGGCTCCCAGCCCTTACCATTGCTGTAGAGCAGCTGCAGGCGGTAGTGGATGCCGTTGTTGGTCTTTTCGCTGTTGGCTTCCTGAAGTCAAAGAGGACGCGGGAGGCCGGAGGGAAAAAGGAAAAAAAAATATATATATATATATGTATCATATGAAGTTTCTCTAACGCTCGCACGCCGGGCGGCCCCGGGGCCGGACGGGGATGGGTCTCGGCCCCCTCCCCTGCCCCGGGCATAGCGAGGGATGGAGGGACACCCCTTCCCCGGCTGCCCTCCGGGACGGGGAAAGAGTAAAGGGCCCGGGAAGCGGCGGTGGCTCCCGGGACGAGCCGGTGCCGTCGCCCCGGGGGAACGGAGCGGGGAGGGCCCGGGAGAGGCGACCGAGCCCCCCCCGCGGGCCACCGGGGCTACTCACCTTCTCCTTCTCCACGAAGCCCACGAAGGCGGTGCGCTCGATCTCCACGGGCTGCCCCTGCCGGTCGTAGAGAGCCAGGACGAAGTGGAAAAAGTTGGACTTCCTCAGGTTGGAAGGAGGCTGCTTCTCGAAGTGAGCCCGGGCCAGACCCACTCCGCTGGGACCAGAAAGACGCGGGTTAGCGGCAGCCCCGACGACGCGGCCTCAAGCCGCCGCGTCCGTTCCGTGTCCTCCCCTTCTGCCCCCCAGTCCCTGCCTTCCCCCTACCGGGACCCGACTGGGCTCCCCCGGGGCTGAGCATCGCCCCCCCTGCCCTCCTCCCCCGAGTCGCCCCCGGGGCTTTTTCCCTCCGGGCGAGGGGAAAGGCGTCTTCAAGCGCGGCCACGCCGAAACCCCGCGGAGCCGGGAGAGCGGCACAAACCCGACCCCATCCCGGCCTGCGGCGGGGCCGAAGCGCCAAGCGGGGGTGTGTCGTCCCCCCCCGACCCTCGCCGCCCCCGGCACCCAGTACCGGCACCCACCAACCCTCCCCGGGGGCCGTGCCCGCCCGCAGCCGGCCCTGCATGGCCGGGGGAGCCGCGCTCAGCCCCGCCGGCGCGTTGCCCCGCGGAGCGGCATTTGGTCCTGCCACTTCTCAAACTCGGCTCGAAGCTGTCACCCAAGCGCCCATGTGCCTTATCTCTTTCAGTTTCAGTCCTGCGAGCTTTTTTTTTTTCCCTCCCCTCGCCGGAGTGGTGGGTAAACACGGCGACGGCAGCCGAGGAGACAACTTGAAATATTTCAGGGTTGTCCCTGCAGAAACTTTCCCTTCCTTAGAGGGCTCCAAAGGGAGGGGTGCGGGGCGAGGTGGGAGACACCGGGAGATGTCAACATTAAACTTCTTAGCTGATGCCGGCTCCAGGGCTCAGGCTGCGAATCTGGCATCAGGGGTTGTTGGGGTTTGGGTTTTTTTTCGCGGGGAAGAGGATGGGAACGAGGGGAAATAAGAGAGAAAGCGAGGCTGGGCACAGCTTCGCAAATCCAGCTCCTATTTGAAGGGATTTCTTTTTAAAAAATCTAAGATAAGTGGCAGTGGTTTTACAAAGGAGCTTCGAATTAAATTTCTCCTCGAGAAAGCTTTGCAAAACTCCCTGCTTATCGGAGGAGAAGAAGGGAGGCTGCTGATTCTGACGGGGATAAGAAAGCGAGGTAGAGAAATATATTTTGGATATATCCGTGCAGAACTCGCTGCTTATCGGAGGAGAGAAGTGTCGTTTGGAGATCTTAAGGCTAAATCAGCAGCAAACATAGTTTTGAAAACTCCTTCCTCCGCGCGGACACAAGAAGCTAGAGAGATTAAAACCCACCTATTCCTACCTAGCGAAACTCGCCGCTTCCTTTATTATTATTATGCTTATTTAATAAAAAGTCATTCCTACGGGACAAGAGGGATAAGTATTTTAACTGGCGACATCTACGCGAAACTCACTGCTGTTAGCAGAGCTCCAGAGCCGGCTTTTTGGTGGTGCAGGGGGGAAAGGCGCTGCCCGCGGGGAGCAGCGCTGCAGGCGGCGTGCGCCCCGGGGCGCGGAGCGGGGCGCGGGCGCGGAGCCTGCCTACCTCTGAGCGGCCGTGCTGGCGTCCAGGACGCCGGCTCCCTGCATCCACGTCCGCACCGCGTTCATCCCCGCGCCGAGGGGCTCTTCCTTCATGCTGCTCCCACTCCGCTGGATGCTTTCCTGAATCCCAAACATGAATCAGAAACAACAGCGCAAATCTTCCTTCTTTACTCAAAATAAAAAAAAAAAAAAAGTGATAAAATCGCCAGGCGGACTGTTATATATGGGGTTTTTCTCTCTTTCTCTCTTTTTTTCTCTCTCTGCAGCTGATCTCTGGAATCAAAGCAAGTCAGAGAAAGCAAACACAGGCACGCACATTAAAAAAAAAAAAAAAATCCAGAGGCAATCAGAGCCCGGTTTTTGTCGCTGCTGTTTGCTGCGTGTGCAGTTTGTTTGGGTGCTTGGAGGGGCTGGCGGGGTGCTGGGGGCTGGTTGCAGCGCTCGCAAGCCGGAGGAGTACTTGAAGTCCCTTTTGTATGAAGACACCCCTCGGATGGCAGCAGGCAAAAAAAAAAAAAAAAAAATCTCGGATGGCAGTTTAAGAAACAATAGGACGAACGGGAGCTGCGGCAGGCTCTGCTACATCAAGTGTCATTTTCCAGTGACAAGAGAGGCAAGTTTCCCCCCCCCCCTTTTTTCCCCCCTCTCTCTTTTCTTTCTTTCTTTTCTCCCTCTTTCTTTTCTTCTCTCCTCTCCCAGCCGAAGCGCTCTCTCCTCCCTCCTTCAGCCGCGCAGGAAGCGAGTTGCCGGAGCCGGGCGCACGCCGGGAAGGGAGCGAGAGGGACGCACCCGCGGCGGCGGCGCGGACGGACGGACGGAGGGAGACCCTGGGGCTCCCGGTGCCCGCGCCCCCTCCCTCTCCCGCAGCGCCGGGGCGGACTCGCCGTCTCTCCCTATGGGAGCCACTTTGACTGTCCCCGCCGCCGAACACGAGCCCCGCAGCCCCGGCGGGCGGGGGGCGGGGCCGGCGCCGCCACGCCCCCTCATTTGCATCGCGTCACCGCTCTGCCCCCCCC